AGAGGTGGCAGACAAGTAGTTAACCTCATCACAACTCAGTTTCCTCTTCTGTATGTTAGGAGTAGAAATCTTACCTTGATCAGTTTGTGAGAAGAGTCAACAAGATCTTGATAATAAACAATGCATCATAGCTTTCTATCTCTCCTTGAGCTTCAACTCTTATATACCACAACCTCTGTTTAAAACATGCTACTGGGATCTCACATTTTCTCAAACTCAAATGTAGAACATCAAATTCATCTTGCCCCACCACAAGACAGGATTCTCTCCCAACTTTTCTGACTCTGTATAGGACACTCCCATTATTCCAAATACCCACCACTAATTATCAAATTGTAAAGAGATGTTTATTTTTAGTCAGACTACAGTGAAAAGGTAGTCTCAATCCTTGCTGCTGGCAGGGCCATTGGAACAACATTTATGAAATTACTGTGAAACAAATCCTAAACATGTTCAAGCCAGCATTTTTACTTCAATGAAATTTATTCTAAGGGAATAACATAAAATGTAGAAAATGCTGCTTCACAAGATGATTAAAGAGGTATTTATTTGTATGAGAGGAATGAGGAAAGAAGAGGAAAAGGAAAGAAAAAAACAACACAATATAACTATCCAGAAAATGCTAAGATGAATTATAGTACATGGTGTCAACAAATGTTTGATCTAAAAATGAAAGGAACAAAACAGGGAATATGCTAATCAATTTAAAAAGTTGTAAGTGAACTTGACCCAAATTAAAGCATAGACGCATAAGAGGAAATAAACCATGGTTATATTTTTGCTTTGTCAGCATATAGAACATTTGTGAGAGACTTTTCTCTCTGGTTCTGAATCTGTGGTCCAAACCCTGATCCCTTGATTTGACCTGACTATGACAGCTTCTTATCCCAAATATCTTCATATTAATCACTCCTGGGTCAGCTTTTTCAACCCTCATTTTCATTATTACAGTTAAAAGAACCACAAATTTCTTCTCCGTAGTCTCTATAATCACACTCTTACTCTCCATTTACTGGAACTTGTCTTATTTTAGGTAATCCTCCAACAGTTTGCTCCATTACTGCCACAGTCCCCTCAAAACATGGCCCTGCCTCAAATGCCCTCCTAATTCATTCTTCCTACCCCTGTAGTCAGAGAAGCAATTCTCAAGCCTTATCCATTGACCCTGTAGATACCCTCAGGGGAAGGGTCCTCAGGAGACAAAACTGCCTCTCACCACTCTCCCACTAGATGAAGGCTGAGTTCAAGTTGGTTTCCTCACCCTCCTACCTCATTGACTTGTGTATTTCCACCATCAATTCTTCTATCTTCCCTTGGAACATCCCTCTCCTTCTACTTTCCCAATTTCTGAACCTAAAGTGTTTGATGTGTAGCCACTAGCCACATTTGGCCACAGAAAACTGGAAATGTGACTAATAAGAACTAATGCAATATACACTGGATTTCAAAGACAAGTATGGAAAAAAATGTGAAAACTATCACTAATATTTTACATTTATTAACTGCTGATAATACATATTAAATACATGAGGCTAAAATACATTGTCAAAAATTAATTTCACTTACTTCTTTTTACTTTTTAAAAGTGGTTACTAGAAAATTTAAATAACACATATGGCTCATATTACATTTCTATTGGTAAGAGCTTGTCTAACCATTTTTCAGGGTCTAGCATGAATTAAACTTTCAAGATGCCCCAATTTTTATATCATTCTTTTTCTTTTTTTCAGTTGGAGATGAACACAATACCTTTATTGAGGATCAAACCCAGTACCTCACAAGCGCTAGGCAAGTGCTCAACCACCGAGCCATAACCCCAGCCCTTTTTCTGTCATTCTTAATGGTCTTTTTGTCTTCTGAAATCCTATAATGGAGTCTACCATGTAACAGACTATCTAATTACATAATGCACCATATGTTTACTATTATGTGATATTAACTCTTGCCTTTATCAATGCCTAACTCTAATTTGAGGCTTACAGTGGGCACTCAACTTTCAATTAGACATGAAATTCTTGCTGGAGCAAAACAGTAATATACTTGATATTTTGGGGTTTGGGTTTGTTTGGTCATCTACTTTCCCAATGATGATTTCAACAGTGCAGGAAGAACTGGAAGTCAGCTCTTTGTTCTTCCTCTAATATAACACATATAAACACATTTAGTATATGGCTTGGCAACTTGTAAGGCCTGCCTTGCCTCAGTGTTCCTTAAGTTAATAAAGTATTAATAAAGTATTAATACTTTATTAACTTTATTTTACATATTAAAATAAAGTTAATAATTATTATTAGGCCAATATATAGTATCTAGCCAGGTCAAAGTATCTTAAGTAAGTTTGAATTGAAGTCATTATCATGATATTAATACTGTACTCTCCACAGCTTATTCTCTATTTCTCAGCCAGATGTCTTAAACTCAGGTTACTTTTTATGAAGAGGGAATAAATCCATCACCATTATCAAAAAATAAGAAAGAAGAGTACAGAAACTACTACCAAAATATTTGTCCCATCCTATCAATGGTAATGCAAAAAGGAGCTGTTAAATATCTACTCCACTTAAGTCATTTATACATCATACTCACAATAACCCTTTACATGACCGACCTTACCATACTCATTTAGCAGAGTGAAGAAACTGAGATTCAAGGACAGGCTAAGTAACTAGCTCAAGTTATGCAGTTGCAAGTGGCAGACACAGATTGCAAACCCAGTCAATGGTATCATCCTTATAAATAACATCTTTAAATATGTGAAAAACAAGAGTGTTTTATAAATTTATACATAAAAATCAATAGAAATTACTATTCATTTCCTTCAGTTTCCTAAATTTTGGCTTAATTCCTATCTTTCCATTGAAAAGGGCTTTGTTTTCTCTTTTTTAAAAATAAGCAGCAACTGAATATGGTATATGATAAAGTAGGAAGTAATGCATTAATTCTTCGTTAAAATCCTTAAATCCCAGTTGTAAAGCAAAAGTTTACACTAAACATCATGACTAGACCTCCTCAGACAAATTTTATAAAAATCCAATCCCTACAAAGATCATAATAATAAACAAAGGAAACTGGGCCATTCCACAAACAAATGTTATCAACAACAGAAAAACATACACCTAAGGAAATATCAAAGAACTTCTCCATGTTACAAAACTGCAGTCATACTGAGATCATTGAAATGATAAAAGGAGGTTCCTTAAAATAAGACATACAACTTAAAGACAAACCATAATTACACAGACTTGAAAAGTATCTAATTTATCAGAATGGTGACAATGTACGTGTATCTCTGAGAAACCAGTATGATCTGGGTTTAATGTCTTTATAAAATGTAGCCAACTTAATCTTGTAGACTTGGACAGAACAAAGGTTTAAATTTTCTATTACAGAAAATGTCCAAAAGTATCAAATGCTTTTAAAATACTGCTCAATTCTCCTTTATCAAAATGTCCCTGCAGTAGGTGTTAATCAGTCACTACCAAAAAACCAGGCACAAAGCAATCAGTGTGTGCATGGTATTTTACTACAGGAAGTAGAAAGTTCAGTTTACCAAGAACACCACATTTTGCTTTCAAAAGTCTTGAAAACTAATCCCTGTAACAGTAACTAATTTACATTTCATTCCAAACTGAACAAATAAATGTAAACTTCAGGAATCTAAAATAGTGAATAACTTACTTGGTAAAATCAGGTATTGGGTTTTTGTTTGTGTTTTTTTCCGTAGTGGTAAGGTCACAGGGTATAAATGGAAAAGAAATAATTAGCAACTTTTAATATTATGAACGAGATCTTAATTTAAAATTCTCACATATAAAATGAATTCTTTTATGTCATATTTTCTCAAGTGACAAACACGTTAAAACTAAGTGATTTTTACTTATTTTAACACTAAAACACACCTAAAAGAAACATAAGGTGTCTTTTGCTCTAGGCCCCCAAATACACAGACAAGTCTGTCTATAGATGGGCATAGGTGTTTCTGTCCTAAACAAAAGTTAGACCAAGAGGTTTTTAAAAAGAAAAGAAAAAAAAAAAAAGAAAGAAAGAAAAGAAAACATAGCCAGCACTGATCACATGCAGCAGGTTACAGGAAGCTGGTGGACACTTTACATCCACAGTGCTGAGCTTCACCATAGGTCAATTCCAGACCCACCTGGGCTCTGCAGGGCCTCCACCCAGCAGGCCAGCAAAGCAGAAGAAATCATAGGCCCATGGTTGTCATGCTGGTTAATAAAAAAGTAGCAGTCTCCCTGAATCCAAGAAAACCACCCCTCCCTCCAAATGGCAGAACAGCTACCTTCATAAGGATAACACAAAGAAACTGAAAAAACCAGACCCAAAATAAAAAATTAAAAGGGGGACATGGGAAGAGAGATGACAGTTAAATTTATGCTGATATTGCTTGGAATCAGTGTATTTGCTGCCTCAGACTGCAAAGTAAAAATAAATAAATAAAAGAGGGAGGAGTGAGAGAGATGACAGTTCAATTAAGTCTGTGCTGGGACCACTGGGTCTCATTATACCTAATGTCTCAGGCTCGAAAATTAAAACTTAAAAAGTAGAAGGGATAGATGACAGTTCGGTGTGTGTGTGTGTGTGTGTGTGTGTGTGTGTGTGTGTACGTACGTACGTACGTACCACCTGGGGCTCAATTTATGTGCGGGGAAGTAGAGGGGATAGTCACCGCTGTGCCGGGCCTCGAGGTTACCCCGGAGGGCAGACGCGCAAGGAGAGCCTTGTGTCAATTTACACTCGAGGGCGACAAGGCAGGGTCCGCGGCCAGGCTATGGCTTTTGGGGAAACAATGGCTAAGGGGTCGCAGCCCGGAGTAGACAAGGTCTGACGCCCACCTATCCCCAGCCCCCGACCCAGCATCCCTGTCCGTGACTCTACAGGGTCGGTGTCCGCGGGGTCTCTGGCCCGCCCGCAGACTACACCCTCTCAGGCAGGTGCCCCCGACCCCAGTGCCCGGAGGCCCAGCACGCCGGCGCGCGCCTCACCAAGCAGCGCCCGCAGGTGCTTCAGGCGAGTCAGCACGTCCTTCTTGGGGTCCAACACCTTCTGGGTGGACTTCTTCACATCCCCGTGGCTCCTTCGGGAGAACATCCCGCCGCGGGAAGCCTGGGCCCCGCCGGCGGGGCAGGAGCGCCTGCGCCACACGAGTCACCGCATAGGGTCGGGACCGGCGCGTGTCGCGCGGGCCACTCACCGCGGCGCTCCGGGCCACCACCGCCGCCACCTCTGCCTCAGCTTTGACTCCAGGAAGGAGGGGCCGGCCGGGCCCGGTGAGGGGCGGGGGCAGGAAGGCGGTGTCGGTGCGGAACGAACAGCCCCGCCCCGCGGGAGGCGCTGGCCAGCCCCTCAGGCGCGACGCGCGCGTGCGCGAGTCTCGGACGCGCCTCGCATGACATCCTCCCGCTCGCTCAGACCCTCGCGGTGACGCGCCTGGAGCTGGCTCGGCGAATCACAAAGAAGCGTGTTCCTCTCGCACGTTGTACTACAAGTCCCGGGAAGCACCGCGAAAAGGCTCTCCAATCAGGGTGGTGTGTCTTCAGCACAATGGGACTCAGTGGGCTATGAGCACGTGGTCCCTCCCGCGGTAGGCCGCAAAAGCTCCTGGGAAATGTAGTTCTCTAGGAGGCGAGGCTCTGCGACCTCCTTTTGAGCGTCTTAGAGGTGCTAAATACCATCTGCTTTCCCTTTGCTCCGGAAAGTCCCAGACTCCGGTACCTTCATACTCCCGGCTGTGTACACACACACACACACACACACACACACACACACACACTCCTGTATGAAGGCTTTTAAAATGCAAACTATTTTTAGGCTTGCTTCCGGATTTACGCTAGATCAGAGCTCCAATTACATACTAAAAGAAATGGGTTTGCCTAGTCTCCTGTGAGGTGTTCAACCAGTCCCCTTAGTTCCAGGACCCAACCTCACTTGGGAGTGTGGAGGTCCCTTGCTCAGAGGACGCTCAGGGTCTTGCCTCTTTCCTAGTAGGAAGTGAATGTTCCCGGTGTTGTGCAAAGCCACATAGCAATCCAGTAGCAGAACCAGAAATAGAACTTGAGGGACCTGACTCTCAGGCCAGTAGGCTTTTTTTTTTTTTTTTTTTTTTTACTTTTTTATTGTTGGCTGTTCAAAACATTACATAGTTCTTGATATATCATATTTCACAATTTGATTCAAGTGGGTTATGAGCTCCCATTTTTACCCCATATACAGATTGCAGAATCACATCAGTTACACATCCATTGATTTACATATTGCCATACTAGTGTCTGTTCTGCTGCCTTTCCTATCCTCTACTATCCCCCCTCCCCTCCCCTCCCCTCCCCTCCCCTCTTCTCTCTCTGCCCCCTCTACTGACATTCGTTTGTCCCCCTTATATTATTTTTCCCCTTCCCCTCAATTCCTCTTGTATGTACTTTTGTATAACTCTGAGGGTCTCCTTCCATTTCCATGCATTTTCCCTTCTCTCTCCCTTTCCCTCCCACCTCTCATCCCTGTTTAATGTTAATCTTTTTCTCATGCTCTTCGACCCTACTCTGTTCTTAGTTACTCTCCTTATATCAAAGAAGACATTTGGCATTTGTTTTTTAGGGATTGGCTAGCTTTAAAGCCAGACGTCTGTTCCCCGGGGCAAGACTTTGAGATGGAAGATGGGCAGGGGATTTCTTACAAGAGAACTGAAGGATTATTTACTGGCATCGGGATCCTCCAAGTTTTGACAGCATTTCAGCTTTTTCAAGCAAGAACTTAAGACTATTGTTTAGAACCACGTGATTTCATTCCAAATTGGGACAACCAAACTGTTCTTTTCTCCTCCAGTTGAACTGTAGCTTAAGGAGAAGCCAGGGATTTACATATCCTTGTATCTCCATCTCTGAGCACAGAATTTGACCTCTACTGGCATTCAGTAAAGCTCATTAAATGAAATGGAATGAAAAGCTAACCTAGTCCTACATATTTCAAATACACATGCCAAAATCAAAATTTGTTAAAAGTTTGTAAGATTAATGTTCTCTTTTCTGTCAAAGTTAAACCTGTCGTTTGAGTTTCCTAGTATATAACAAAATGAGTTTGCTGTTGTAAAACCGAAATTTCATAATGTGTAGTTGGGTGGAGCTACTTTTAAGTTACAAAATGGTTAAAATGTAGCCATTTTCCGTCCCCCAAACATATCTCCCTTTGTCCTCAGTCTTCCAATCATATTGACTATAGTGTAGTAGGTGATCAAATCATAACTGTATCCCTTCCCCCTGCCCTCTCCAATTCTAAATTAGTCAATTGGGTAATCTGTAACCCTGAACTACTCCTATCAGAGTAAAAGGCTGTGCTGCCTTAAGGATAAAAAGCTGGGCAGACTTCCTGCCCAGTGTACTTGCTTGCCAGATTTTTCTTGGTAGCACACCCTTCTGCAGAAATAATGTTTGCCTTACTGAGTGACTTTTGAGTATGTGTCTGATTTCTTGTGGTACCCCAATATTTCTAACAAGTTCTCTATTTTTGGAATTGTCCAAATAGCATTGATAGAAAAGGGACATATTAATAGAAAGGAATAGGGGGTTGAGATTGTGGTCAATTGTAGAGCACCTGCCTAGCACATGGGAGGCACTGGGTTCTATCCTCAGCCCCACACTAAAAAATTAAAAATAAATTAAATTCATGCTTATTTAAAAAATACAAAGGAATATTGCTCAACAATAAAAAGGAACAGAATACTGATAAATGCAACAACATGGATGAATCGCATAGACCCAGAGATGGAATTTCCATGCTCAGGACGATGGCAGGGCTGCCCTATCAGCCTGAGTCCCCAGATGACATCATAGATCAAAGCCACAAACTCTCCAAAATTGTTACAAGGGAGAGAAATTATGTTCACTCTTGAACCAAATCAAGGACCTTTGTTACATCAGCTTAGCTTGTACCCTATTACAGACAGGAAACACAGTGTTTACTGTCCCATTCCTTTGGAAAATAGTATCTTTCCTTATACTCACTGAAAAAAATAAAATGTACTTATCTTAAAGGATTCGATTTTTCTATTTCAAATCAAGCTGACATTATCATCAAACATTTATTGAGTACCTGCAAGGTGAAAGCATGATTCTAAGCCTTGAGGATAAAAGATGTTTACGATACAACTCCCCTGATCTCCAAAGCTTTCAATCTATTTGAGGAGGCTAAGCAACTAGACAAAGGAAGGAATAAATGATAGTACAGTAAATATGTGACACTGTCAAAACTTGTTAGTGCCAGAAACAGGCGTCTCTGCATATAGATTCATCTCACCCATCATACTTACTAATAAAAATATAGAACTCCAAATCTTTTAAAAATAAAGAAACATGAACTATGCTGATGATGATACTTTTTCACATACATATATATTGCATGTGTCTCTTTATTTTCTGTTTTCCTCTCAAAAATCATTCCTGCTGAAGTATAAACTCTTTGAGGAAATCACCTACTTTGAAGTTAATTCTTTGTCTCTGGAGTTTCAGAGTATCAAGTATTTTGCAGACAATTAAGTGCTATTGAATAAATGACCCACTTTAATCAATAAATGAGGAAAACCAAGTCAAGAGTTTAAAACTTGCAATGCAAATTAAAACTACCATGAAATACCATTAGAATCAGAAAAAAAAAATCCCCACACATGTTTGGCAACGCATTCAAGTGGCAAAGCTATAGAGAAACACAGCAGTTAGTATTGCCAAAAGGTCAGTCCTTGTCCCGGAAGCCAATCCAATAACAAGGACATAGTTTTGAGAAAAAGGAAAAAGAAGTTTTATTGCTTTTCTAGCAAAGGAGAAACACAGGGGACTCCTGTCCCAGAGGCTGTGGTTCTGCTCATCAGCAGAAACAGGGTGCTTTTAAAGAGGTGATTCAGAGAAAATGAGATTAGGGAGGAATGATCAGGAAGGAGAAGATCAGGGAAAAGACTATCAGGGAGGAGAAAGTTAGGCAGGAGAAGGTCAGGGAGCAGAAGGTTGGGAAAAAGAAAAGAAAAAAAAAACATGTACGTTTCAAAGCCACAAGGAATATAGTCAAAGCATCAAGTGAACCCCTGTTACATTAGGACTGTAAAACAATACAACCCATATGGAGGGAAATTTGGCAAAATTGCATTTAACCCAGAAATTCTATTTTCAAGAATTGACCCTGAAGATAGATCTCCACAAATATAAAACCATTCGTGGAAGGTTATTCTTTCCAGCAATTTTTGTATAGTCAATTTAGTAGATTGAATAGTGCCCCCTCCACAAGAGATATGCCTATGTCCTAAACCCCAGAATGTATGAAACTTTATTTGGGGTGTGTGTGGGGGCGTCTTTTCAAATGTAATTACATTAAGGATCTCAAGATAAGATAATCCTGGATTATTTGAATGGGCCTAAATCCAATATCAAGAGTCCATGGAAAAATAGAAAACAAAGAAACAAGAGAGAAGGTCATGTGAAGCCCAAGGCAGAGATTGGATTTATGCATCCGCAAACCAAGAAACTCCTGAACAACCAACATCTTGTCTAGCTTGAAGGAGTTCCTTATGACCAAATATGGGTTAATTTGATCATCAAAAAGAATAATACTGACTGATGATAAAACTCAAATAAATAAAAATTCAGGAATCTGTAATATCATTCAAAAGAACATATTGTCATTATAGTAGGCAGTGTTTCAGGCTGATTGTGCGCGCGCGCGCGCACACACACACACACACACACACACACAGTCCTCAGGTGGATGTTTTCTCAGTAACAAATGGGAAAACATATTGAGAAACCAGCTTCTACCTCAGAACAAAGCCTGTCTGAGGAAAGGGGCATAAACCTTGTCCTTGGAAAGACCTACAGAGCACTCCTAGGCACATACCCACCCTGCAGAGTTGTTTATCTACAAATAACAGGAGAGATCTGTGGAGCCAGGTGTCCCTGACTCAGACAGGCTTGGTGAGGACTCATAGCAACCCCCTACTAATCACCAATCAGCATGAGACAGGGAAAATACCTGAGATGCCAGATGACCCTCCCAATAGTTTATGGTGGTTGATAACATGTTGGGAAACCATGTAGTTCCGCACGTACTCCCCTCGTGGTTTCAACCAATCAGTTCAAACGAATCGCCCTCTTGTACTAACCAATCACCCTTACCCAACTTGTTCCCGCCAGTGAATGTGCTGATCATGTTTTAGAGTTGTTTTATGATTTTCCCGCAGTGTGTGATGATTTGCTAAGAGATGCTATG